CGGGTCGATGCGTCCTGATGATGTCACGCAGCGTTCCACAGGTGGACCCTCGCTGCGAGGTCACTGAGGTTCAGAGCCGCAGTTAAGCAACTTGGGACAATGTGATTTATTCTTAATAGATAAAGTGTATATCTTCTCAGAACTTTAATGATCAATCTTTTCCAAAAATATCATATCAGATCTGGCAGCTTGAATAGAGCGAAGTTTAGGAGAATGTGATTGGTTGGTTGGTTGTAAGAGGGACGAGGCGCGTCACGTGTAAATATATCATTGGTGCTCGAGTTGACTGCCTGAACAAGCTGAATGTGTCCATTAACTTTAGTTAATACTGAACTTATCTATATTTAAATATTGACCATAGCTCTATGTGACAGGAGTCACATTCAGGCAGGGTGATATGGAGAGAATCAAATATCACAATATCTCAGATCAATAATCCAATATCGATATTCTGACAAAATTGCAGGGCTGACAATTTGGTGCTTTTACAAAATATTTACACATTAAGATTTTTTATAAATTGTCTTCGGTATATAAATATATCGATATAATAGCTAAGTGGGTAATGCAAATAATTGAACAGCTTGAAAAGTTACATCAATTCACTGTACCCGAGTCTATAAAACCAGGGAAAGACAGTTATGTGATATTAAGAAATTGAAAATTCAAGACGATATGTAGTCTCATATGACAATATTGATATTTTGTTTATGGGATGCCCAGCCCTAGTCTCATGCAGTGATGGACTCACAGAACACACTGTTTAGTGTAAGGGTTTTGGTGCTCTTGTTAAACCTCATTTCAATCAACATCAAGTTAACAGCTTGTTCTGCTGTCTGCCAGTCGTCAACATATACATTCATGTTCCTTTGATTTCTTCAGGAAGTGCAGCTCTTAACATTTTCCCTGGTGCTCAGACGTGACTGCTGGGTTAATATGAGTGTGGGGCCCTTGTAACCCCCACCTCTCTCTCTCTGCCCCTGCATAGTGTAAAGTATTTTTGTGGTGGAATACTTTCTGATTAAAATGCGTACGCTATAAACACATTATAATGACGATTTTAACACTCAGTGGTTGCTAATTTGTACAAGTGGGAGAATTTTTTAACGTATATTGGGACACAATTGAAGCTCATACAATAATAAATAATTTGCAATGATTAATAATTGCAGCAACATTTCCCAATAACAGTTTTTTTTATTTCTCATTTGCGTTTGCATGTCGTTTGGTCACTTTGAAACAAAAAACTATAGTTTTTGGGACCATGTAAAAGAATGTTTGGATTGACTATCTAAAAAGGTTTAATATGCAGAGCAGTTTCAGATGTGCATACATTTAGCTGTATAACTATTTATAACTATTAGCAGTAACACCTTGGATGTAGGTGATTATGACTAATTATTAAATACATACAGTATAATGTACAATGTCCCCAATATGACATACAATAAATCCCAAATTACCAAACTTACTTTATAATTGTTTTTATTTTATTTGTATATATATATTTCTAGTCTACTTCATTGTATTGCACATTTGAAAGTTAACCTCTTATGTTTCTATATATATTTTTATGTGATTTTATTATAAATTAAAGCAACTGTAACAAAACCCAATCGGCCCCCCTGATTCTGATGTGATGTCCTCACACTTCAGTGCCAACATGTAACCTCGACAGCACACACACACACACACACACACACACACACACACACACACACACACACACACACACACACACACACACACACACACACACACACACACACACACACACACACACACACACACACACACACACACACACACACTCCCTTTCCTTTTCTCCCAAATGGAATCAGTTAGCCAACCGTCCCTAAACCCTCAGCCTCTTGCCCCCCCCCCCCCCCCCCCCCCCCCCCCCCCTCTGTTTCGGTATTTATTTATTTAGCTTGACCCTGTTTTCCTTTCCTGGCCTGTCCCCTTTCCTTTTTTCCTTCTTTGAGGAGGAGAACAGATAGAGAGAATCAGGATGCACTGCCTTCCATTACCATGCCCTGCTTTAGAGAGGAGAGGGGAGAAGGGGGGAGGAGATGAGAGGGAAGGAGAGGGGATGAGGAGAGGAGACATTTGTAAATGTACCTTTATGAATCTATTGTAGGAGACGGCAGATAACCCTAACCATTGTATCTCATCACTTGAGGAAAAACTATCTGAAAACAAACACAGCACTCATAAATGAACAGCTCTCCAAATATACCCCCACAGAGCATAAACACCCCCCAATGGCACAGCTGGGGGGTGACAGCAGCTGACCTGTCCCTCAGGCCAGTCTCTTACAGTCTCTGTGATTAGCAAAGATTGGAAACAGTAATCACAGTGATGACAGTTCCGTCCACTGATGAGAGAAACTTCCTCTGGAGGGAAATCAGGGATTTGAGCCTTTGCAGACCGTTTACATGCACACAAACCTATATAACACACTACCCCAAAAAGCATTGATTATATCGGATGTTATTGGGGAAAAGCCCAAATTACAACTGCTAGAAGTCTATACCATCCAAATCAAGAAAGATATGTTTTGTAAGATATGTTGTTGAGTTGATGAAATGTTGTTGAGTTTCCTCTTTTCAAAAAGCTTTATTACAAGCAGCGATTTCAGGGTTCAGAATATGTTGTCATTTGATTACTGTATATAATGCTATATTTGAGTTAGCTTAGTGCTGTAAATGGAGCCCTAATTGTCTTGGAAAAACGCGATCCAGAGAAAGACATTATTGCATTATGGAAATTGAGGGTGAAAGGGGGAGCAAGCTAAATGTCATTATTCAGCAGTCATTCATCTGGGCAGGCCACATTTACTTCATAGTGACAAGTTAAAGGAGAGCAACGTCGTCTGCTGACACTTAAAAGAGCATTCCTCGTGTGTGTGTAATGTGGTCTCGGTCCATTGTTGTGGTGCTTCTGCACTGTACTGCCAAAACAAAAATGACCGTCAGAGAATATATTTCTTATGATTAAGATGATATCTATATTTGCTATATACTCCTACTCGCTACATATTGTCTTTGTGTTTTCCCGCCTTTGATTGTCTGCCCCGCCCTGTATTTTTCCACCTGGGTATATTCACTGCTGCATTTGTGTTTGTCGGTTTGCTATCCTGGCTCCAAAATTGTGGAATGAGCTCCCCATTGACATCAGGACAGCAGAAAGCTTACACATCGTCCGGCGCAGACTGAAAACTCATCTCTTTCGACTCCACTTCGAGCGATAGAATTACTAACAAAGCACTTATATACCAAAAAAGGACTGGCTTATCTAAAGCCAGTTGAGTAGCACTTGAAATGTGCTGGGAGACGTGAAGATGTCACAATTTCGTCCCTTCAAACGTGACAGTTACACGGTATTGTTAACATGGCCCAACCAGTGGAGAAATACCCGGAAGTGCCAAGCAAATGCTACCCCGACGGTCGGTTGTTATTGTCAATATTAATATAATAATGATTTATTTTGTAATCGTCACACTCGATTTCACCGATTTTCTTGTTGCCCTAGCTGGTCGACACCTCTTTTAGCAGAAACAAAGGCTACATTAATGTATTAAATCGATGTTAATCCATGTGTGTGGATGTGGAATTAACGGACGTGACGTTGTGCGATTGCGTTGCCAGGCAATAACGTGCTTCAACCACTAGATGTGCCTTTCTATCAGCTGTGCACCGTTATGGTGTAAATACAGCCTATCTACCAATTGGATCAAATATAAAAGTCAGCCGAATTATTATTGATACTGCAAGGAGACGTATTGTGTGAAAAGAAATGTAAGATGTTGTTTAATTGCTGATATATTTATGATCCACGTCACGTTTTCAGTTTTGGTGGCAGTTCTTCCTGTTTGTCCAGAAGTCTTCTCATCAGGGCTCTATAAATAGAGAACTACGGCAGATATGTAATATTTAATGCAGCCGAACCGTGTATTACAATGCCGTTATGTGATGACTTCCAAAGAGAAAAGCAAGCACACTCGGTAAAGTATTATTTTATTTTTAAAAAATGTTTTCGGATTTCACATCGCATAAACACCATTTCCCAACGTGCATTGCGGCTAAACCATCGAATCACCGAGCTGAGGACCTTGCCTACGTCTGTTTCCGGTATTTTTTATGACGGATGTATTTTGTTATACACACATTCCTTCACATTTAAATTTAAATTTACATTAAAGTATTTCGTGAGGCCTTCTAAAATGTTTTTAAATATAACTACGGTTCTAGTTGAAGAGTTTGTAAATTAACATGAACCGAAGCTGTTGCCTGGCAACGCAATCGCACAACGTCACGTCCGTTAATTCCACATCCACACACATGGATTAACATCGATTTAATACATTAATGTAGCCTTTGTTTCTGCTAAAAGAGGTGTCGACCAGCTAGGGCAACAAGAAAATCGGTGAAATCGAGTGTGACGATTAAAAAATAAATTAAAAACATCTAATTTTGACAATAAAAACCCACCAATAGTCTTGGTAGAGCATTTGTTTGGCACTTCCGGGTATTTGTCCACTGGTTGGGCCATGTTAACAATACCGTGTAACTGTCACGTTTGAAGGGACGAAACCAGCATGGTAGATCGTCACATGTTCACGTCTTGCCGTGATACCGGGTTGGAAACCTGATGTACTTATATGATTCTGTTTTCTTCAAGTTTGTATCTTCTTGGTCTAATGCACTTATTGTAAGTCGCTTTGGATAAAAGCGTCAGCTAAATGCAATGTAATGTAATGTAATGTAATGTGTTTTTGTCCGCCCTCTCCAGCTGTGTCTTGTCTATGTGAGTAGTGTCTCTGTGTATGCCTCTCTCTCACAATGCTCCCGCAGATGTTTCCTGCTATTCTGCTACTCAATGTTTTCTTAGAATTCTGCAAGAGGAGAGCTTATTTAGTGAACATTTTGCGAACAGTTTAGTACTGAACCTGTGCTTAACTGCTTTCATGACAGTATGCATATATTTTCTATCCTCAGTGGTGGTGTTGTACATACAAGGCCTGGGGACCAAGGAGTGGAGAGAGGTGAGTGAATGAAATGCTTTTCAAAATTCAATTAATCAACCTGTGAGATTTAAAGATTAAAATTATAACTAGGCTGATCAAAGTTTGTGCTTTGTGGAAAGATCAGATGGGTGGTAATAAGCTGCTCGCATATTTAGACATGTGACATGTAATGGTACCGTTAGTAGGAGCAGTAGAGGTACTCAGTGGTGGAATTTAACTAAGTACAAATACTCAAGTACCTTATTTAAATAATTGAGGTACTTGTACTTTACTTGAGTATTTTCACATTATGCTACTTTATACTTTTTACTCAGTCGATTTTTTCTGACAGATTTAGTTAATAGCAACTTTGCAGATTTAGATCATTAATATAAAATATAAATGAACTAATACATTATGATATATTTTGATAGGTTAAGCTACCGAGTAGTGTATAAAGTTATTTAAATGAACCCCACCTTTACCAAGTGCAACACTGAAGTGATGAACACATTAAATCAATAATTATAATAGGATAATTGTATACAAAGATTTATGGTGATAAAATGCTTAGACACTTAAAGAATATTTTGATGCTAATACTTTTTTTATTTAATTTGACATTTTCTTGTAACTAAGTATTTTACACTATAGTTTTGATACTCTTACTTAAGTAGATCATTTGAGTACTTCTTCCACCTCTGGTAGTACAGACATTGTATCAGTGCTAGCAGTGATCTGTAGCAGTTTATTGATTGGACACTGGTTTATAAAGGTTTATCCATACTGTATGTCATTTCTAAATATGTATTATTTTTTCAAAATAATTACATTTTCAAACATGTATTATACTGATAATCTTCACTGGTGAGCTTTAGTTAAAATTCTTTGAAGCCTACAACCTATACAACAGGGGTCACCAACCTTTTTTAGGGTGAGGGCTACTTTAAAAAAATAAAACAAGTCGGGGGCTTCTTTTACCCCTTTTGTTGTTTTTGTTTTTTGCAGTGTATATATTTAGCACATTTTAACATTATGATATGCTTACCTTTAACCTTTGTGTGCTGTTTGGGTCTGTGGGACCCGTTTTCAGTGTTTACTAAAAGAACATGTATGCAATTTAATTATTTTAACCTGCTTTATTTGGGGGTGGACGGGCCTCACCTCCTCTAGGGGGGTCCGGGGGCATGCACCCCCGTGAAGATTATTTTTAAATGTTGAAGTGAAATGCATCAATCTGGTGCACTTTGAGCACAACATGAATGTATGGATACAGCTCTCAACACTCAGATGAAAGGGAGCTGTATACTTTTCAATAATCCAAACATCTTTAGAATATGATCACAACCAATAACAAATCATTTAAACTGGTTTATTCTTATCTTATGTTAGCTTATTTTATTTATGCTTATTTTACTAATCACTCCCCTTTCAAACTGTTTTTTTTTTTTTTTTTACTGTCCTATACACATTGGAATGATTTCTTACTTTATCTATATTAAATAGATAAAGGTGTGCTCTCCCTAGCTCCCTCGCTCGCTCTCTCTCTCTCCCCCCCTCTCTCTCTCGCTCTCTCTCTCTCCCTCTCTTTCTTTCTCTCTCTCTCGCTCTCTCTCTCTCTCTCTCCTCCCCCCCCTCTCTCTCTCCCTCTGTCTCTCTCGCTCACAGAGGCTGTGTGCTCCTCCGTGTCGATGACGGCTTGCGTTAAAAAATAATAATAAACATATTTGTAAAGTGGGGGGACACAAACGGGATTTCGAAAAGAGCGGGGGACATTTCCCCCCTCTCCCAGGTGGAAATTACGTCATGCGTGTGTGTGCGTCAAGTGCAATACATATATATGCAAGTTGCAACACACAGAGTAAAACTCTGCCCCCCATGTGTTGTATAGGCTGCATGATAGGCTGTTCAATGGGGCTGATGTGTTGTGTAGATTCTGCCAGAAGGAAAATCAGCGGTGAGCTGCCACTCCACATTTGCTTTTCTTCCAGACTGCAACGCTGGTCCCGCAAATCAAGCAAGAACGTGATTGGTCGATATTCATTGTGGGGGTGGGGGGAGGAGGGGTGTTAGATAGATATAGAGTTGTAGTAAGTAGATAGAGTTCGCTATGATTGAGGTTTCGTTTATGCATAGGGTAGATTCTTTTATTTACATTTCCTTTTTTGTTTTGTGTATTTTATACATTTTGGATTTGCTTGGCAAGCTATTTTTAGAACATGCCCCGCGGGCGACTCACGTTGCCCCTGCGGGCGACTCACGTTGCCCCTGCGGGCGACTCACGTTGCCCCTGCGGGCGACTCACGTTGCCCCTGCGGGCGACTAAGTGCCCGCGGGCACCGTGTTGGCTACCCCTGCTATACAATCTCCATGGCCTTTAAGGCCCTGACACACCAACCCGATTCTGGGAGTCAGAGGCCGTCAGAGGCAGTCGGGCATTCGCGGCGCCCTACTCAGGTTGGTGTGTCCCGCACCGTCGTCTCTTTACGGCAAATTTTCACACCTCCCGCGACAGTTGGCCAAAGAAAGTCGGCCAAAGAAATCACTCTGATTGGCTGTTCAGCTTAGCGAATCAGTGCATGAGAAGCGAAGCGGAAGTGAGGGACCAAAACAAACGATCAAGAAGGCACACACAGACAGACAGAGCTACTGGGTGTTTCTCAATCTCGAGTAAAGCTGCTCCAGAGCCACTATTTCAAGCATACTACGTCATCGAGTGCCGCCGAAGTACTGTTCCAATGTCCAGGATACTTGGAATTCTACCGAGCCCGGCGTACTTCGTTTGGAGAAATTTCGAGGCTGCACATGTGTAGACTCCGCGGTCTTAAAATCCCCACAATGCTTTGCGCACGGACCAATTTCCCCAAATCTGTGGCGGAAAATGTAAGGCGGGGGCCTCTCATATGACGTACACTTGCTCGCCTGTTCCACTTTTCGTTTTCCGAGGCTAGGAAGTATTCTTGCCTCGCTTCTGTAGTAAGACGCTCGGAAGACATGTGCTACCAAGCAAGCGTACTCGAGATTGAGAAACACCCAGAGTCTACCACTGTTCATTGTTCATTTACCTATTGTGAGCATCACATGGAAATGTACATTTTGCAAGAAATGGCCATTATTCAGATGGGAGTTTCTGTCTGCCCCTCTATTCTTTCTCCCATTATCCTCCACAATCTGCCTAGAAGTATTTTAACCTTGTAGCTGTTCAAGATGGTCATTTTAAAATGTGTTAAAAATATACTGTTAGTAGGTTAAACCAATAATAATGTACGGCTGCAACTGACAGTTATGTAGGCACATTTTTTATTTTTTATTAACGCTGTGTGATTAAAAGAATAAACACAAATAGCAGGATAGGCAATACAAAACTTTATTTCGTACCTTGATACTACAGCCATTGATAACACAGCATTAGACATATTTGGCAAATTCTTTTTTTTATTGTATTACACACTATTTTTATCGTATTGTATTTTTGTCGATTGTTTACATTGCACAGTTCTTTAGACATATTTGCTATACCTTATCCCACTGAAAAGGCACTGCACCGACACTGTTAAAATATTGGCATAGTTCATCCCTGTGCTACTTGGCTCGAGCTGGAATATTGGTGCCGTGTGGCAGGGTGGCCAGCCGTAGTTCAGGGTCTTGTCTCCATCTTCCTGGGACAGTTCTCGACACAGGTTCGGGAAAGCCCCCTGAGCTTCTCGCTGTAGTATCCATGTTTTCACCCATTTAGTGCGGTTTCTCCTGATTTTTTGCTTCCGCTTCTTAATCTCTGCAGCCGCAAGCAACACTCCAATTGCTGATAACGCCAGTACCGTACGATACATGTTTTCGATCGATGAGAGAGAGTGAAAATGGAACCCAGACGCTATTTGTTGTTTGTTTATATCACGCAGTCTGTTCTTCTTCTCTCGGTGTATAACGCAGTCTGTCTTCTGGTTGTTGCCTCTTTTGAATGACGAATACACACTACCGCTGCCTGCTGGCAGTGGTGGCGCCAGGGTATGGCTGGGGTAGGCTACAGCCAATCAGAGCAACAAAACGTTGGGTCTGCGTCATGCATTACTGAAGAGATCCGTCGGAACCGCCATTCAGTATCCCCATTGGATCTTCAACGTGTACTATCATACGTCACGTTCACAGTGATGCCTTTTTATTTACTACAAGACAAATGTGCCGTTTTATTTCATAAAGTTCAATTTTGATTGAGACAGGGAAATAATCTAAACCTCACGCGTGGCGTTTCACTGTCAAGGGGGGCGATATAGCGTGTATGTAATTACATTGCAAATACTGACTTGAGCCCCACCACTGTATGGGTTAGCCCTACCATAGATTACCCAACAAAAACACTCTGGAGCCGCCACTGCTTGCTGGTAAGGACAGTTATTGCCACTCGTCGACTGAAGTCTTTGCGGTGTGTTCGTAGGCGGGCGGCGTAGCCGACGCAGGCGACGTAGCGGACGTAAAAGTTGGGACGCCTTCGGTACGCGTTCTTTGGTCTCAGGTTGGTGTGTAGCGGCCTTAACACTCCAGCCTTCCTGTGTTGGGTATTAGAAAAGATTTTAGGCTGCACCAATAACTGCCACCTGCCATTACTCTTTTAAGTAGAATGTATTACTGCATTGTGTGAACAGTACACACATTGCAGTAATACATTCTACTTAAAAGAGTAATGCGTTCTGTTAATTTTAGTTAAGTTCACAGACTGTTCTTTGTGGGAAATGGAAAGCAGGAAAAGCACACAAATCAGTCTTCAAAATGGCAAAGAGTCTAAGAAAACAAGGTCAAGGTTAACAATAACTGCAATCCTTTAAAAAGCATTTATCATTCTTAGCATAGTTGAGATTACAAAATGTAAAAAATGGCCTTTGCTTTCCTCCAATAAGGTCACAACTAAAGAGCGTCTAAGTAGCCGTGAAGCAAAGTGTCCTGTGACGGTCACAGTGATCACACTGCTTTACAGCAAACAGAGCGTAATAAAAAGCTAAGCCCTTCTGTGAAGCCTGAGCATCCAAATATAGGAATTCATCAATTGGAAAACCAACTGAGACGCGTTGGGAGGTCGGCCTGGAACGATGTGTTGCTCTCTGCCTCAGAGTCTCACTCTCTCTCACAGAGTCATTTCTGCTCTGTGCTATCACAGAAAATCAGTCCTGCCTCAGTGGGGGTCCAAACACATACATATAGATCTCAGGGAGCCTCAATCAGCCTCACGGGAGAGGAGGCACACTGTAAGGGCCAAACAAGAACATATTGAGTTGTTTGAAGCTTGTAGAGTGTGATGCATCAGGTTAAAGTCGCAGCACGGTAGAGAGAGTTGTAGCGCAATGTTATATTAAATATCTGCATTGCATTGTTTTGCTGGTTCCTATAGTCCATCATGTTCCACGTGAAAAACATGTCAGGACAGAACAAAAACAGTAGTAGTTGTGCATTGCTGTAGTTTTTGAATTTGCTACAGCATGAATGTACACAAAGAAAAAAACATTTTTATGGGCACAATATATGGCCGGCATCTTTAACATTTGTCATGATTGAGTGCAGAGCAGGGTGGACCCAAATGCAGAACGTACAAAAATATAAACAGAAAAATACTTTTAGTCAGTATAGCAGGACAAGGCAAGGCCAAACAAAAGCAAGCAAAAAACTCTCCAGGACACTTCAGAACTCTGCCACAAATGACATACACCATTTAAGAAGGTGTATGTCACCTTCTTAAATGGTGACATACACCATTGTATGTCACCATTTAAGAAGTGGTTTACTGTTAGTTGACAACAACTAACAGTAAACCATAACTTTGATGCATCAATAAATCAATCAAAGTGTATTTATATAGCCCAATATCACAACGTTTACATTTGTCTCAGTGGACTTTACAGTTTATACATAATATGAATATGAATATGACACCCTCTGTCATTAGTTCCTCACAACCAACAAGGAACCAACACAACTCCCAGAAAAACCCTGCAGTTAATGGGGGGTAAAACGGAAGATTTCCATAAAAATGTGGACCTTGATTGCCGCTGACCATACGGTGTGCAACCAATGAGATCACAGCTAGTGTGATGTAGCCAGTCACAATGTAAACAAAACCATGTTTCAACCATTAGGCGCTTTCACACCGGAGTACTTTTCCCAGTATAGTTCCGATAGTTCTTGAAATGTTGCGTTCACACCAAAAAAATCTGGAACTAGAACTTAGTTAATGAGAACCTTTTCACCCCCTTTTTAGTCCCTGCTAGAGAGCAGGTACTTTCATGGGAGAAAAAGGTTCCCATTTCTGATTGGCTGGGCGGATTGCAAACCACGCCCCGTAAAACTCGGAAAGGTTTTGTGAAGCCGCCATTGTATTTGCTGGCATTAGCATTATTAGCATTAGCCCAGCGCACCAACGGAGTAGGGCTAATTTATGGCAACACAAAAAAGCGGTGGAGTGATGAGGTGTCGGCGTTCTGGCGATTTACTCGGAAGGCTTCAGTAGAAGCTGCTGGGAGTCCCAGCAGCTTCTACTGAAGCCAGTCCCCAACTCCGGGGACTTCCGGCCGGGGACTTCGGGTGGCGGTATACGCCGTGAAGTTGTTTGCGGCCTGCCAGTAAACCCAAAGCAGAAGAAGAAGAAGTGACGTCAGCGGCTTCATTTGCCTAATCCTCCCTCAGGGACGTATTCCGGTGTGAACGCGATCTGCTCTTTAGATCATCAGAACTAAAGAGTTCTGATGATCCAGTGGCGAGCCGTGGCTTTTATACCCCCTCTGACCCCCACCCCTTCTCTCGAAAAAAAAAAAGAAAAAATAGTTATTACGTCACAGCGTATACTTCAGCGGAATATCAAAACAACGGCCCGGGGTGCAAAACGCATCAATGAAAGCGACCCTCTACCACACAAAACAACACCTGTAAATAACCCAATGTGTGTTCTTTGAAATTGAAAAGGATATTGCATTGTGTTTGTGGGGGGACTTTGCTTGGGAACTGAAGGGTTGCCGGTTCAAGTCCTTGGACCTTAAGCAAGGCACCGAACCCCCAACTGCTCCCTGGCGCCGGACAACCTGGCAGCCTCTTCGCTCTGGCACCTCAATATAAATGTGTTTGTGCATATGTGTATTCAGACTAATCTGTATGCATGTGTGTATTGTGTAAAGTGTGCAGACAATACCAGTGGAAAACTGATTTTACTTATTATTTTAATAGAGGCTTGTCTTACCTTATCTCAGTTATCTTATCTTAACTTATCATTTTACGCCTTCAACCAAAGGAGAAATATTAGCAAGCTAACGTTAGCTTTGTTAGTTCATTTAGCTCAACAATCATGACCTCTAGGAAGTGGGCACACACATTTGGTAAGAACTTATTTTACCCTTTTTATTTAGTGGTGCTTAAATGTCTGTGTAGTATAAATTGACAATGAACAAGAACAGCTGGAGTTTCCAGCTACAGTTTGTCCATTTTCACAAAACATTATTTAGCATTTACTTTTGACTTAAACCGGTTTCTGCTATGCTCATAGAGGGAATATACCGTTTTGAGCTTCTGAGTGAGTTGCTGTGAACATTTAAGTTGCTGGGAGCGATAGAGCAAAAATCCTATCACAGATTTAGAAACTGTGCTAGATAAACTCTAAAGCCTCCATCCAAGCACAGTTGGAAAATATCATAGCACGCTTCTGCTTCTCTAAGCAGATAAAAGTTTATCTGGGAGCATCCTAAACCTTATTTATCTCGCTGCCTCTCTATTTTAGCGGCTTCCCTTTAACTGTTTGTTACAGCAGAAACAGAGCCATGTGGTTTGGCTGTGACTGTGTTTACCACTGCTCTTTATTTTTGAATAATCCGAGCTGATTGAAGACAGAGGAGCTTTCTTTAGGCCTGGGTTGCCAGTTTGGGGTGCAGCCACTGTTGGAGATCTTCCATATGGTTGCAGGTCCCACTCAGCCGCCCCCTTCCTCCTCCGTCTGCCTGGACTCTGGCGTAGCTGTCTGTCCACAAGCAGAGGAAACAAGCTTCCTCCCTGCGACACGGTACTGTCAGCAGCTTGTACTGTGTGGGCTGTCGGAACACATTGGAGGATTTGGCTCCAGGCACTTTTTGATGCAATTAGCAGAAAATCTAGTTTAAAAATTAATGTGGAGAAATAATAATAAAAGATCTGCCAACTATCTGGTGGGTGACAGAGAACAACCTGCACTGAAATCATACCAAACAAAAAGAGAAGCTGTCGAAAACAGAGTTTATTAAAGATACTTGTCAGTTGGTGTGTATGTGTATCTCATTATTTGAAACCAGTGTCCTACAGTACTTTCTCCCTCATGTCTGTCAGTGTTGGACTTGTTACCCAAACCTACAACACTCCTCCCTATTTTTTTATTTTAGAAAGTATTACTTACTTCATTGAGGTAGCAGTTCTTTATCATAAAACAGCATCCACCCATTTCTTGTCTTTTTAATGACCAGTGACATTGTCGAAGTTCTCAGGGCCCCAGCTTCTTCTTCTTCACCATGTAATAAAGGTTTGTGGCATTTTAAGTCTGTGAAATAATGTAGAGGTTGGTTAGTGTGTATCCACATCAATTGAATATAAGGAAAGAAAATGAACTGATGTAAATGCAGTGTGGTCATAGATTGTGTATAACTATAGTATCTCCTGCTTTTTATTGGGGGAAGAAAGTGCAGAGCTTCCCCGAGGCGTGACATAAACAAAGCAGCTGCTAAGGGCCACCAGGGGCCCCACATGAACTGAACGTGTGTACTCTGTTCAGGTGCCTCAGCTCATTTCTGTCAATTATTTAAACATGCAGAGCTGTACTAATCAATGTTTTATAAAAAACGGATCCAATCGGGTACTTTCCCAATCGTTTAAACATACATGAAACTATAGCTGAGTTTATCAAAAACTCAACAAAGACATGTTCGTTCTTCTCAATTTCCACACTACCATCAAAAACTATGAAAAATATGCTTTGGTTTAATCAGGCCATGTGACGTATTTGAAATTGTAGGTAGACTCCCCAGAGTCACATTGCATTATGAGATGAAGCTTTCTCTAATAAAAAGTGTTCTATCTAATGACTGGCACAGCGCAGGACTGAGACTGTGGTCAATCTGTGTGCCATTTATACATCCATGCATAGTCTACATGTGTACAATACATTTGTAACAGCTTTAAGGTGAAATACTGTATAATAGCGTCTGACTCTTGGCAAAAATAATATGATTTTGAAAAGTAATTTTCCCTTTTATAAGCTTAACCTCCTACTTCTGGCACATACACATGGATGTTAACACATTGGGATTTCAATTCTAAAGAAATCCACGTATTTTATGGGGTAGGAAGAGCATTTAACATGTTTGTTGGATCTCAGCGATTCACACATAAACGGTAACAGTTCATGTAAACATCATATTAGTTAGGCCGCCACCATGCTTGGTCTTGGCCTGAGTAAAGTGTTTCCACCAGACCTGGGCCTTTCTCTGTCTTGCTGCAATTACTCTTTTTGACTGCCAGCCTGTTCCAGCAGGAGGCTCACACTCTGTAGTCCTGCTGCCCTGTTAGCCTGCTGCCCTGTTAGCCTGTTAGCATGCTGCCCTGTTAGCCTGCTGCTTAGCCTGCTGCCCTGTTAGCCTGCTGCCCTGTTAGCCTGCTGCTTACCCTGCTGCCCTGTTAGCCTGTGTTAGCCTGCTCCCAGTCCGATGCTGTCACTGCTGGTTCAGTAGATTGTGATGCAACATTGAGCCAAGAGGTTTAAAAGAAGCAACAGAACAGGAGTTACCCTTCTGCACTGTTAGTTACTTTTCTCTCTTATAAATGTAAAGATTGATCAGTGTATATGTAAGTTGTTGACTCTCTCCTTCATCTCTCATTTCTTTTTACCAGTTTGGTCGGACAGAAGTGATCGATAACACACTGAACCCAGACTTTGTGAGGAAGTTTGTCCTTGATTTCTTCTTTGAAGAGAAGCAGAACCTTCGCTTTGATGTGTAAGTTGGAACATCTATTTTTCTTCCCTCGACAGCACCAACTTCTCTTTTATTGTGTTATACCAGAGGATGACGTCAATCAAGTCTGCCTTATATTGGATTGCTGACTCATACCAACAATGTTTACATGCCTCCAGTCAGAGCTGATTACCATAGAAACATATTCTCATGTCATTGTTAGACAGTAAATATGCATACTCACACAGTATGTTAGCAATGTCTTCATATCTTTGGGTTACCATTGAAAAAGTCCTAAAACATTATGAAATGGAAAACTAGACAAAATAATCTATAAATAATATCTTTATACACTGTCAGTATAACTAAAACATTGTTGTAGTTTTTTTTCTTTCTTGAATGGACATTTATAGTAACATTAATAACTTAAGAAAATGTATATATTTATCCAGTGTAATTACTGAGGCATTTTTAAGGGGAAAAGAGAAGGGGAAAATTAATTCCGAAAGTACAAAGTCTAAAAACACAAATGCAATTGTTCTCTTTTCTGGAATCATCTCATGATTTATTGGCCACTTTTTTTCGGGTGTGTTCATCAGTAACTAAACACTGCTCTTATGGTTCCATATCACCACATCCACTGCAGATACTGGATTAAAGACCATCTTTGGGGTGAAAGGGAATCAATATAGCTTTGTGATCTAAATTCAACATGAGGTCATGTGTACTTACTGCGTCAGCTTCGCTCCATAAAGGTCTGATGAGTTCAATGTTATCAGAGGATTCCGTTTGGAAGTACTTGATTTTAGCATTTTCTTAAACCAACTGCTGCACGTGGTCCATTTTTAATTGGCCCGCAGCAAATTCTAAAAATGATAATGGATTATGGCCCACACATGACAAACCAGTTTGAAATATACCCTTTGCTACAGGGCTGTGAAGGGAGAAGGAGCTGCCAACACTTTTAGTAACAAAATAAATGAATCCCTATGGGGAGCTGTATTGTGTTTTCTTTTCATAAAGCATATTCAATTATCAAGAATAATGTACCTATACGATGCAAATGTGCAAATGTTTATCTTATGAGACAATAAACCTCATCGCTAGTGATTGGCCCAGCCCTTCGTATGTTTTTCTGTACTGTATGAGGCCCTGAGTGAGAAAAGTTTGTCCTAAACCAATATATTATTTACTGAGCAGCTCCTGCCTCACACATTCCGCTACATCCCCTCTTGCCCCCCTCTCAGCCCTTTCCCACATTTTATTATTTTTCTAAATGACTGGAGTCATTTAGGCTTGGATCTAAGTGTGAAGTTACACTTTAATGTGAAGAGACTCACAGAGGAGGCTGCAGGTAAAGAAAGACACGATAGGGCAAACTTAGAACTTCACCGCCTTCATTCTTTCATAGAATCGAAGACCTAGAGGGGGGTCAGAGCAGAGACCAGCGAGGGGCCAGGTTAAAGAAGAGGCTATCACACCCCTCCTATTGATCAGAGCTGCTCTATACTCGGAAGTCCCACGACCAGCCCCAGGTTGCTACGGTACACACAGCACTATGCAAAGAAAGTTAGGAATGTGGGTTTTCTAGTTCACTTTTTAAGTCATGTGCCAATATTCTGGTGCTGTTTCTTATGTTTAATCGAGCAGTCTGTAACAATATGTCGATGATAAATAACTGGCTAGCTAGCTAGTTAACTGCGGTGATACTATTTCCGTTGAGGGCACAGCAGCTTTCAGCGATTTGAGATAACAATACAGTCGAAATTCCTGCACTGCATAAGTGTTCACAGTAAACCAAACTGAGACAGATTTTGAGCTGCGGAGAGACAAATGCATAGCCTGACTTATACAATGACAAACAGGTCTGTACATATTCATTTAAAATAATGCTGTACTGTTCCTAGAGCTATCGTAATGAATGAGGAAAAATAATGAGCTGGAAACTCATTCAGAACCTCAGTTGGTCTACCATCTGCATAAGAGTCCTCAATATTCAGTTCATTGAGCATTGGGATGGAGCCTCCTCCCCTGGGACGGCTGCACGCTTAGTCTTAATCTCCTGACAAAGTCAATCATTAATGCTGAATTATGAAGTAATGCAACATATAACCCACACAGCGACAACACACATACACTCTGTCAAGTGAAGTGCATCATGAATGCCTTTCCTTCACAAATGGCAGCATCTTGCGTTACTGTGCCGTTACTTTATATAACATGTTTTCACTTCAGTGAAAAGGAAACTAATCATTTTCCAAATCAATTGTTTACTTGTGCTTTATGCACATTTGATTTAAGTAATGACCAAGGTCTCTGAAATACTATGTAAATATATGTAAATCTCATCATGCCTGCCCTCACATTTCCATACAGCTTGTTAAATTAGTTTATCAGCTTATGTCTTTACGGACCTGAAACGCGCCAATGTACAATGCAAAGCAAGCAAATACCCAGACAAACAAATACAAACATCTAGCCATGAGTGCTGATAGCATATATTTCCATCACACTTCAACTTATTGTTGAAAACACGTCATTAAGACTGGTATACATTTTGTTTCTGCACCCTAAAGGAATGAATCCGAGCTAACACAGCGTGCAGTGGTGTGTAATGAGGTTTTATATTCACACTGCAGTTTCAGACCGAGACTGTGATTAAGAGACGCCTCATCCATGATGCAAACTAAATATGTACATCACATCACGCAAAACCTCACATTTCCATACACAGCTTCAATTATCATGAGCTTCTACAGACCAAATTCAATGAAGTGTATGCAAGGCAAGTATACAATGTTTACATAGTTATAAATATATAAAGTACAGTGGGAATTCCTCAAATGAGAAAAGGTTTGAAATGGGTCATGTGATTTTTATAACACTGTCCATGGTCTGGGATTTTAAAATGTCATTAAAGTTTAATGACACTGTAACAAAGTAATTATAATGTCCTGCCATATATATATAATTTCTCAATTCAAGGCAAGAACATTTTATTTTCTACAACCCAATATCACAAATCACCTAATTTGCCACAAGAGGTTTTACAATCTCATGTCAACATGTTTGACTGGTTGTGACGTAATGTTCCTCAGGGTGGGAAAATCATTACTGACCCGATACTCCCATGTCCAATGTCCAGTTCTTCTGCACCTACGACACGTATTCTCTCTGGACTCTGTGTGTATTCTCTGTGGAGAATCCCTGAGTGGTTGTGAAGAGAGGAGGATTTCTCACATTAAGGCTTCAAGTCTTGTGACGACCTGGCTCTGAAACCATAACAAAGAGAGGGAAAAGCAGGCTGATGATAATGGTAAACAAAAACAATGAGATGAGACATGAATATCAGTAGCAAATCAGTGGCGACGGTGCATGCATACGTGTGTACCACATTTCTACAAAACAGTGAAATATTCTTCTTTTAGCTGCATCTGATGCAAGGCTTAGATCAATCAGGCAATCAGTCAATCAATAAATCAGCCAATCAACCAATCAACCAATCAATCATTTCAGTGTATTCCAAAATTCAAGTCCAATTTTAAGAATAAATAGAGATATGTAATACCCTGATAAGCTATATGCAGATTGAGGAATAGGGACCCAGACACTTCAGTCGTAGGCAAGTATTATTTCAAAAAAATAGGTTTACAAAATAATAGCTAATAATGAGTTATCAGAACATCTTTGGTCTCAAAACAAAGTCGCCAAAGATTACAAAAAATCATCCAAAGGATTGTGGCAATAATATGAATACTGGCTGAATACGTTGTTTGCATAACAGCCATGTTCTAGCTAAATCATTTTTTTTTTTATATATATGAATATTAATTTTCTATTTTTAAAAGCGGCTCCTCACTGTAATTCACCATAACAGTGCATGCACTTTAAGTTCTGCCTTAAGGGCTAAAGTCATAGACAGTAAACAAAGAAGGTAAATATATCAATCCTAAAATGGATCTGAAAGGATGCCAGTCTGAGTCAACCTCCTCTCATTGTCACATGAAAGGACAGACAAGCAGAATGATCCAAACTGAAGCACATTATTGTATTACAGAGAGGAGAATCAACACATTTCATTTCTTTAAGGTCACATCAGAGTAGGAGGAACATTTGAGCTGCACCTTTACTTGGTTCAGCCTTTTTTGATGTATTTTGCCTCCTCATGGCGGATCATGATGGATTTAAAAAGATATCTCTCATTACAGTGTTGGTTTTCACCGGCTGACACTTACATAACAGTAATGTGATTTCACTGCACTAATCACCCCCATGGTGACTAAATGAATCAGCCTAAATGATTTACTCCACATTTTGCACAGTGTAACGCTCTTACTGCTGAGTTTCCTGCGTGAATGTGTTGGCATTAGGCTCTGAAGAGGAGGAAATCCTTTTCAATAAACACAAACTCAGCGGTCTCTGGTGAAAATGATGCCATGAATCCCTGAGGAAGACTCTAAGTGATGAGGATCAGGCGTGTGGATCTCATTCACAAAAGACCCCTGTAGTTGAACACTGTGTGATCTGAAACCTATGTGGTTTGCACAAAGAAATACAAAAGCAGGAAGAAAGGAGAGATATGGCAAAATATGAAGGCGACATATTTTCACTGTTTTCCATAATTTGTTATTAAAAGCCCTCCAGCTCCCCCGACGCCTGCAATGGTAATCAAGGTCATTCGATTTATTTTTTTTGCAACTATATTACTCCTCCACACTCAAATCTAATTCAGCATCCCTCACAGGCTTATCATACCGTGAGGTAATTTCATCTGATCCCACCCAAACTCCACACAGAGCTCAATGTGACATCGTTGGAGATGGGGACGTGTTGAGGTGGGGGGTGAGGGAGATTTCTGTTGAAATGGAGGGCAAGGAGGGGAGAGATTGAAGACGAGTTGTGAGCATAGAAATAAAGAGGATAGAAATGTAATGAAAGTGTGTCGAAGGACTGTTTAAGAGCACTGCATTTTGCCCTTTTGGCCAGCCTACATAGACTGTTGGCGGTTTATGACACATGTAAACAGAAGAGAAATAAATCTAAGTGATTAACTAAGTGGGTGCTATGGTTATATTCATTTCCCAAAATAAGCCCATAATTGTGAACCCTCTAAGTTGGTGTAGTGTGGAGGACTAACACATGTTCCTGATGCTGGCTGTGTTGGTCAGTCCGTCACACAGTTGTCAGTCCTGTCACACTTATTTGTTTTCTCACTTTGCACAGCCCTCACCTGTCACAGCTACCTGTGCTGAGGAATGTGCTAGAGGAAACCATGAGTAATAACTACCCTTTTTGTTTTTTTTACTACATAGCCCATAAACTAAAGAGGTGTCGCATAACAAATCATATATATTTTAGAGGAAACCCTTGAGATGTAGTATTTGTTTCACAAGAAATATATAACACAAAAAGGCAATGCTTATCACTTTTCTGCTACATATAGAACTAAAGAAAATGCACAGCTGAGGCTGAGGTGATTGTCATTAGTTAGTTATATAAATATAATGGCTTAGAGTCCAGGGGTGGGCATTTTACGGCCCGCGGGCCACATCCGGCCCGTTGGCCGGCCTTGGCCGGCCCGTGTGAGGTTGATCATAAATTATAACATAATGAAAAAAAACAGCAACCTTTTCAAAATAAAAGCAACACAGCTGTATTGCTTGCATGGCGTAAATACTTTTCTAACTGTGTTGCTTTTATTTTGAAAAGGAAGCTGCTGTTTTTTTTATTTATTTACGTAAACGCGCATGCCGTAACAGCTACGAGTGATGCTGGCCGGCTAGTCCTCGAAATGTCCGCTAAGGGCAAAAAAAGAAAGATCGATACTGAATGCCGTATTTTCAACAAGACATGGACCGCTAAGTATTTATTTACAGAAGTGAAAGGTAAAGCTGTGTGTTTAGTTTGTGGTGCGCAGGTCGCTGTGTTCAAGGAGTACAATTTGAGTCGCCACTATGCTACCAAACACGCAGATAAATACAAGAACCTGTCTGAGGAAGAGCGGGCAAAGGGGTCGGATGCTTTGCTAGCTAAGCTGCAAAGCCAACAACACATTTCCACAAAACATTCCACATCCAGAGATGCAGCTGTCAAGACGAGTTATGTCTTAAAAGTTAACCGTTTTCGGACGAAGAGTTCATTAAGGAGTGTTTGTTGGACACTAATATGCCCGGAGAAAAAGGAGGCATTTGAGAAAGTGCCGCTCTCCCGACGCACTGTTACGAGGAGAATTGAGGACATCGCGGGAAATCTGGAGCTTCAGCTGCAGAACAGAGCGGTCAACTTTGACTTTTTTTCCTTGGCTTTGGATGAGAGCTGCGATGTACGTGACACTGCCCAGCTACTCATCTTCCTACGTGGGATAACTACAGACTTCAAAATCACGGAGGAGCTGGCAGCCATGCAGTCAATGAAAGGTACAACAACAGGGAGTGATTTGTTCACGGAGGTAAATGCATGTGTGGAAAAGTTGGGACTGAAATGGGACAAGCTGGCAGGCGTGACAACGGATGGTTGTCCAAATCTGACAGGGAAAAATGTTGGACTATTGAAGAGAATGCAGGATAAAGTGACAGAAATTAACCCTGAGCAGAAATAGGTATTTTTGCATTGTATTATACATCAGGAAGTGTTGTGTAAGTCAGTGTTAAAAATTAACCATGTTGTTGATGTTGTAACTAAAATAGTTAACTTCATCAGGGCAAGAGCATTGAATCACAGACAGTTTGTTGCACTTTTGGAGGAAAGTGAGACTGAACATCGTGACATACCCTACCATGCAGCTGTCAGGTGGCTCAGCCTGGGCAAAGTGCTGAAAAGAGTATGGGACCTGAGAGAAGAGATTCAAGACTTCTGTGTGAAGAAAGGAAACGACATCCCACAGCTTTCAGATGCAGACTGGATGGCAGACCTTGGTTTTGCTGTAGATGTGACTGCACTAATGAGTGAACTAAATGTCAAACTGCAAGGCAAGGGCCTTTTTGTGCATGACATGTACAGTGCAGTGAAGGCTTTCATGAGAAAGCTGCAGCTTCTCTCAAGCCAAATGGAGGACAACATTCTCACGCACTTGCCAACACTGAAGGAAGCCACACCATCAGCTGATCACCTCCAGAGGTACTCATCCATGTTAGAAGCACTGCATGGTGAGTTTTCAAGGCGATTTAAAGACTTCAAAACAGTTGAGAATGAAATGAACATGATCTTTTCCCCATTTACATGCCATGTGGATGATGCACCCAGTGATGTTCAGCTTGAACTCATTGACCTGCAGTCTGACACACTTCTGTCAGAGCACTTTAGGTCAGTCTCACTGCCTGAGTTTTACTCTTCCCTGAAAGAGGAGAACTTTCCACACATCAGGAGACGTGCTCAGAAGATGATGGTCCTCTTTGGATCTACCTACATATGTGAACAGACATTCTCAGTGATGAAGTTCAACAAATCCAGATACAGATCCTCTATCACTGATGATCACCTCTCAGCTGTCCTTCGCATATCCACCTCAGACATTGAACCAGATTTCCGTGCACTTGTTCAAGCCCAAGACAGACTGGATTTTTCTCACTGAACAAGTAAAATTAACTGAAAAACAAAAATCAAAAGCACTAATTTCTTTTTGTATAAAGCTGATTCATTTCTTATCTTTAACATACTGTAAAACACCTTTTCAGTATTGGTATATTGAGCAGAATTAAGTTCAACTTATTTTTGATTCGGCCCCCCAACACAGCTCGAGTTTCTGAAGTGGCCCCTTGTAAAAAATAATTGCCCACCCCTGGCTTAGACTGTCGGGGGACACCTTACTTCTTCCTTCTGTCTGTCTGTACCTGTGTACTCTCATGTTCCCAATAACCCAGCTTCCCCAAATGTCTTTTTGGTGTCTATCTACGCCGGGATCCTGAGTCGTGGCTTATCCTGTTGCTGTGGTCCTGAGTCCTGGATCCTGAGTCCTGGATCCTGAGTCCTGGATCCTGAGTCCTGGATCCTGAGTCCTGGATCCTCCATCCTGAGTCCTGATCTGAGTCCTGGACTTCGAGTCGTGGCTGAACCTGTCACTGTGGTCCTGCCTGACTCTCATCATACTACTTCCCTAATGGCTCCCACAGGATTGTTGACATCCTCGTGGATTCATCTTCTTATTATAGACACATACATTTCCAAACATTTGGTCTACCTATACTGTGAAATGTATTATCTCTTCGATTTACACACGGCATCTATTGCACGTGTGTCCGTCCTGGGAGAGGGATCCCTCCTCTGTTGCTCTCCCTGAGGTTTCTCCCATGTTCCCCTTTAAACTGTGGGGTTTCTCTGGAAGTGTTTCCTTGTACGATGTGAGGGTCTAAGGACAGAGGGTGTCGTATTGTCATACTGATATTCTGTACAAACTGTGAAGTCCACTGAGACAAATGTAACATTTGTGATATTGGGCTATATAAATAAACATTGATTGATTGATTGATTGATTGATTGATTGATTGATTGATTATCGGTATTGTAGGTAAAGAATTGGGACACATTTGACCCAAGGGTCATGCTAGAAGTACAGTAAAATCAATTATGTGTAAACCAAATGTGATGAAAATCAATCAATCAACTTTATTTGACATGAAATGTCATCATTTAAGTTTCAAGGATGGGTACTTTTTCTTGTGAAAAAAACGAAAGAAAAGGTTGAAAGTGCAAACATTACACATTCAGAAAAACACTTTGAAGGTCCAGACATGCTAGTGTGTACAAATCCTCAGTAACTTCCACATGTCTGTGCTGTTTAACGTGTTCTAGACATCGAAGACTCCTACAGCAATAATTTATTGTCTTGGCTTTTGTCTTTTTTTACCAGCGGCTAACAGGGAAGCAGGCAGTCCCTGAGCTCCTGCACACACATACTATATTACAGCTCTCACTCATCTTATTCATGCCTGCCTGCTCCCCTGAGAAACACTTCTGAGATGTTCACATCATCTTCATAGTGAAGTTAAAGCAGCTAGCTCAGTACAGTATCACACACTCTGAGTCCATTAAGAACTCCCTTTGCATACCTCATGTGCGTCCATGCTTGGAGCTCCTTTAGTAGATGTTCATTCATGTCATACGTTAGGTGTAAATGAATTGGAGAAGGAGGAAAAAACTGGTGTAAAGATGCAGCAGGTTTCAGCGCTCAGTGTCTTCTCCTTAGAAAGATGCTGACGGCAGAAGAGCGCAGAGATCCGCAGCGATGAGGAGCTGAAGAATACATGATATGAGTGAAATGTCACTCGACACACCAGAAGATTTCCTTTGTCAAACATGAGCAAAAGCCTTTTCAAAGATGAAAGCTCTTAAGAGGAGGTGCGAAAGAGAAAGAAGCTGCAGAGAGGAAGTGGCTGCTCCAGATCCATACGTTTATCCTTCATCACTCTTCTCTGCGCAGCATGTCTAAGTATTTCATCAGCACACTCCAGGAGGGCTGCACATTATCTCTGTGCTGCCTGTCAAAGAATATAGGTTCAAATAAGGTTGTTTTTTTCATTAAGACTGTATTTTTTTGTTACAATACTGTAAGGTATAGCAGTGCGTATTCCAAATGAAAATACCTCAAATTCCTTTTTTCTTTGTTAAATTGCAGGTATAATGTGGATACCAGGAGCTCCAACCTTTCAAAACATGTAAGCAGCTTTCAAGATGTGAATATGTTATTTTATGCAAGCTGGTATTGAGACCTGAAAAAGACAAGAAGCAGTCAAAGGTATAATGCCTTTATCTGAAAAATGAAGGCATTATACCTTTCGCTTTGGAAGTTATTTGTTATTATTAACTTAATGATGTTTTTATTGTGTCTTACAGCTTTTACTCTAACTTGTGTCTGACTTTTCTTACTGCATACCCTCCTGGATGAGCAGAAGGTAAGCTGACATTACGCACTTTACCTTAAGGGAATTTCTCTCTGAAGTCTTTGTGTTAAACATATAGCCTGAAGACTTGTCATGCTGTTCCTGCAGCTGGTTTCAAAATACAGCATCTTCACTGTTCCACAGATTAAACATCATCTGGGCTTGTAAATGGAACCGCTAATCTCTGAGACTGTGACTGTTCTCTCAAAACACAATCTATCTATCTAATCTGATCCTGGTACCATCCCCTTCAGACATGTGAAGCAAAACAGTCTCTTCTCTGATAAGATAGCAATAGCAAATTCTAGCGTATTTGCCCCAAATGACCCTTGTCCTCCAGTTGTACTGATGTGCAGTACTGACTGTGTGCTGCTGCTCTCCTCTGTGAAGGACTTCCTGGGTCAGATGTTCTGCACGCTGGGGGAGATCATCGGATCGACGGGCAGCAGGCTGGAGCGGACACTCTCGTAAGTACAACTATATCAACCTGCACCAGGGACCTCTGGGAGGTCTGTGCAGGACATTGATCTGAAAGAGGCCCTATTCTGCTTTTTGGGTTGTTCCCACTTCCTGTAGTGTGTTCTATAGGTTTGTTTGCATGTAAATGGTTTGCAAAGACTAAAATCCCAAAGTTCAAGCCACATGCTAAGTCTGAGTTTCAAACATGCAACTCATTGTTTTAATTTTTTTGTTTGGCAGTTTAGATGGATTCAGCATGCATCTGAGCTTGTTGCAGGTTTAAATATCATGTCCATCATATAATCCTGTTGTATTATTATTCCAAGTTGAGATTTATCTCCAAAAAAGTCAGTCATTTATAGTAACCAGAAACATGCCAATATGTATACTCTCTGTGGGCTGATTTTGGTCGTTTTTGGTACATTTGGAATAATCTTTGCCAGGTTATTTGCAATAGAATACAATAAGATGATACTTTATTGTCAGATTCAGTTTGAAATGTTTCTTGCAGCAAAGTAGCTTCATTTGCTAAATCAAATCAAACAAATATTAAGACACGATACAAGGAAACAGACATTTACCATAACATTAGGATCGCTTAATCAATAACTTTTTCAAGACCCTCTAGCGTACATCTGACCTGGATTTAACTCTGTGTTTGATTTGAGGATTGACTGGTGCACATGAGAGTTCTTCTGTCTACGTGCATTGAATCGTGGGACCCTGTACCTCTGATTTGATGGTAACAATTACATTTTTGACTCACACTGCTGAAAACTGATGAAAGACTATTTTGTGTAATATTACATTTTCCGGTAATTACTGCATGTATCCTAAATATGAATATAATTCATCTGTAAAAAACCAACAGGTAAAATGAAAAACTAAATTAACTCAACAGTCATGGAACACTCTTAATGATGGGCCACGTATTCATCATATTCCCAATTTGAGCCCCTCCTTTTAAAGCAGATTGGGTTTCTCCTTCGTAACACATTAATCAATCTTTGTTGAGCGTTTCCTTCGTCAGACAGCCTGTCAATGTGAGCAAAGGCTCTGGGGCGCAAGTGCTGGATTCTGGCAACTTTGGTGTATGTGTGTGAAGAGGGTTCACTGAAAAAGTTCAACTTTGACTTGAATTAAATGTAATACATCAACAAATCACACATAATTGTATTAGGTTAGTTGAAAGCAATAATATTAAATTGAACTTTTACAATTATGTGTAATTTGTTGACGTAGTACATTTAATTAAAGTTAACGTTTTGTTGCCTGGTTCTCGTCAAGTGAAGCTGTATGAAGAACTTAAGAAGCAAAGTGGGGTCAGGAGCGGTACTGATTACAGGAGACTTCAATCTGGACCCACAGCTACATATATAACAGCAGCTAGGGTTCACTTCAAAGCCACAACACGCTCTATGGACAGACATGCTGAATCTTATCAGTGAGACAAACATAAAAACATGACAGTTATATTATTGTGTTGGCTGTCTGTTTGCCATCTTAACTGAGGTAGATTAAAAGATTGAAATCAATGTTTTGCATGTGTATGAAATTCAGAGACATTTAACCTTACATTACAGTCAATGAAGACGTTATGTTCGAGACCCTTCAACCAACCTTTGACCTTTAATTCAAGTTTATATCAAGGGTCTGAGCAAGGTAACGTAGGTAGGACCTTAATTGTTGGAATTTCTGGCGATCTAAAGTTGCTTTTGATTTGAATTATTATTACCACAAAATTCAGAAATGGAGAATAATTAGGTAAAATGTGCATCTAGCGCATGGGCTTGTTAAAATGGCTCAAATGCAACCCTATAATTCACATGTACGAAACTTTGTAAGTAGAGATGTACAAAAAAGTCTATTCGAGGTATACCGTAGACCAGGGGTTAGCAACCTTTTTGATATGAAGTGCCATTTAAAAAAAAAAAAATGTGATCAGTGTGCCTAATCCACATTAAGATTATCATGAATTGCAATTATGATATCACATCAACATTTCCAACGGATCAAGTGCATAGCAACATTTCAAAGAAAGCAGCCATCCTTATGAACACATTCACATCTGAGTTGAAATCACTAATCACCAATGATGATTAAGCACCAATCTTCAGCAATACACTTGCAATGTGTTAACAGCAAATGTCAAAACGGGTGAATGAAATGTAACAAACAGAAACATGAGCACCAAGTATGCTCCCATCCATATGAAAACATCCACATCCGATTTATCACACAACAGGCAGGCTTTTTTTTAAATATTGAAGTTAAAAGCATCAATCTGGTGCACTTTGAGAGCAACATTAATAGATCTATGGATACATCTCTCAACACCCATATGAAACAGATTTTCTTTTTCTTTATGGATATTTTACAATCACTCCCCTTTTAAACTGTATTCTTGTTTTTCTGTCATATACCTGTTTTTCATTTATTCTCTTATTTCTTTATAACTATAATGATCATGTAAAGGTGTGCCTTTACTTCACCTGAGCTGAGGTTATTTGAGCCTCTCTTGCTCACTCACACACAATGCGCTCGTGCCACACACACAGAGCCGAGCTTGAATGACACACAGAGACCCAGAAGTAGTTGTACTGTACTGTAGCATATTATTTATTCAATGGCGTTTTTGTATGATCAGTATGACAGATGAGCAGATCGCCACTGGGCTTTCAACTAAAGACACAGCCACGCAAAAACTGCGGCATGTGTACGGCTCCTTATGGGTACTGCAATTTGTGAAGTGCCGGCGCGGCGTTCCGGTGCACTCCGGCAGCATTACACCCCTGATCGTTTCACCACGGAGGAAAGCACCAGAAAGTCGACTGGAGTTAAATAGAGCGGGGCCTAGAAGTTGTCCTTCTGCGCTGCGCTGCGTGCATGGCTTCCTTCTGCAGGTAACGGGGAGACGCGCTCTGACGGTGGTCTCGTTCAGGATCCGAAAGTACAATTTAAATATTTTGCACACTTATTCCACTTATTCCTAGTGTGCCACTGGTTACGGTACCTGGGGTTGCCGACCCCTGCCGTAGACCCGACAGGAAGTTGGCCATTTAACAGCAATTTCTTTTTTTAGCATTGAAGTGGGCTGTACTTAAAGAAGCTCATCCTACTGATTTATTCCGACAGACTTCAAATTTTGTCTTAAAAGATTGGTCTGCATTTTATATAGCACCTGTCCAGTCTTGTGAACACTCAAAGTGATTTGACATCATGTCAGTGGCATTGCAGTCACGGGCACTTCCTCCAAAAACAGAGAGTTGTTGTAACTGGAGAGTTTAGAGTCAGAGCGTGAAGACATCCACACGCCAATATTGACTTGAAGTCATAGCTCACACCTAACCTGGCAACAGGAAGTTACAGGTTGTGTACTTTTATGAGCTGCTCATTGCAGATTTAGCACATCCATTTGAAATTGGTCCAAAAAGCCTTAAGAGGTGGATGATGCTCCAAGGTGAAAGTTGTGCGTCTTCGTTAATTGCTTTTCAAGGCTTTGCCATGAACAAATAAATTGGAGTAAGTGCACTCTCCTCTACAAAATGGTGTGTGTTTGTGTGTGTGTACTGTATACAAAGTTTGCCATGCACACACAAACATCTAAAACTTGGTTTATATCAGAAACGCTGAGAAGAATGATAACTAAGACAGGAGGATACCCAGCACACAACGTGATGTACTGGAAGAAGTTCAAGTTTAAAGCATGGACGAGTTTCCAAGGCAACTGAGAGCTTGAAGTGTACTTCATCCTCTGTACTGCTGAAATATCCAGCTGGGTGAGCCATTGCCTCCATGCTGCTCTATTCTCCTGTGCTCAAGATGACATCAGAACCACAGCATGGATCTATTTTCATACGTTGGGTGGGGAGAGGAAGCCCTTTGGCATTTAGTGCGTGGAGGACAGGATTACCAGGGAAACCCACCTTATGAGTTACAAAGTCACGACTCACACTGTGTTTAGGCATTTTGTGAGTCCTCGCAGGCTGAAGAGTGGGTCTGTCACATTATTCACCGCCTGCTGACCTGACCTGCACCGCCTCTTGTGCCTTGGTAATGTACTCGACCATCAGGCTCTGCATGCACTATGGCTGCTGTGATACATAACCAAGACTCACTGGAAAACAGACCATAATATACCCGCCTTGGGTTGACATGGATGTTAGAACACCAATTACCCATAAATGACTTGGCTCTGATGCCCTTCTGTGTTTTGTAAAATAAACCTTTAATCGACTGAAAAGTCAATCCCAGCCTGTATTATATGGACAGCAGGGGCATACAGACAGTAAAGGTATACCGACATAGAGTTCTGGAAAAGATGAAGAGACCACTGCAGCGTTATCAGTTTCTCTGGTTTCAGTATTTATAGGAATGTTTTTGAGTAAAATAAAAACTACAGACAACATTTTTCTGTGTTTGAATTAAACAGACACTGGAATGGAATCGCTGCCATACATGTAGAGATTCAGATTTAAAGGTCCCATTATACTATATTCAAACAAAATATTATAGGGCCATATCTATACAAAACATGTCTCTGAAGGTTTTTGCTCAAAATACCAATGCTTGCTAATGTAAACACAGACCATATTACTTCCAAAACTCGTCACATATGACGAGAGAGAGTTTTGTATTTGATGACACTTTGTGAGTCTCCTTACACACCAGGGACACATATTTATGTATAAAAGACATCAAAAAGTGCATTTTGCATAATAGGTGACCTTTAAGAAGAATTTGGAGTGGTCTCTTAATTCTTTCCCGAGCTGAATATACAGCACAGGTACACATATACACTGTCGGTACAGAGATACAGCATAGGAACACAGATACACACAGATACAGATGAAATCAAAGTGAATTTTCTTTCTAACCTGTATTCTCCAGATGAGTCCACTCTAAAGTGAACTCATCACTTTATAAGACTCCCTCTGGAGACACTAAAGTCTTTATACTAATTTAATTGATAGAGTTTGTTTGTTTTTAATTCATGACTAAATTAACCATAA